AAAAATATGAAACAATTCAATTGAGAAAACTAACGGCCTAATTTATAACAAAACAATTTACGAAAAACAAATATGACAGACATATATAGTTTATTTTCGTTAATAAAAATTTATTTTCTAGTGGCCGGATTCTTTACACAAGAAGCAGAGAAGTATAGAAGCAATTTTGATTTAACTGTCATTGTACACTACAATAGTCAATGTTATACGCATTCCATTTTGCTACAAGACTAACATGTTTGATCTTGATGAAATATACTCAATACCCCATTTATTTAATCTGATCTTCTATGATTGTATATAAACAGTATTTAGAGATCAAAATAAATTATTTGTTGGATAAATACTTAGAAATAGAATATATTAAACAGCCATAAGAAAACAATACCCTGTTTAAATTGGTTACTAGAAACCGTAGAGTTAAGGAATTCAGCTACATCCAGGAAATCTCAATTAATCCAGAAACATATTGAAATATTACATTACATGCAACTTGTCAATTTCTACGAAAAGAATCTTAACTCATTTAGTCTCAAGTAAGAGATATATCACGCGTGTGTGCTGTTAGATCGATCATCAACACTAGCATATATCTATTATTCCCTGTAGTCTACATATGAGTAAAAAGAGTTATTGGGTATACTTCAGTGTAGCAGCACCCCTACCCATAAAAGAACCGAACACAAACAAAAACGAGGAGGACTTCTATAGGTCAAACGTTATCTACTTGTTTATTCGAAATTATAGATTGAAGCAATCAAAACTCGTACTTACAAAATTTTGTTTAAATACAGTTTAAGTTCACTTGTGTCTTTTTTCTTGACTGCTTAGAACAGTCCTGGAATAGAATTTTGTTTTAAACGTTTCTAAACAACTTTGAATCTCAATGTTATCTGGGTTATTATTCCTGATACATGTATTTCTACATTGGTCATATTGTACCTTAGAAAAAAGACGAGACCGAAAACAAATTTACATGTATCTCTATTACCGTGCGCTTATCAAACGTTAATTCGAGCTACATAGGTGAGCAATGAAATGGTTGTTTTCTTGCTTCATGATTTTGTCTATGTATACTAAATAATGTGGCATGATGATTTACACCGACAGAGCCTCGTTCTCATTTGATATACTTAAGATAACTTCTGTCATAATGTAATATACTTCTTCGAAATACAATTAACAAAGCAGGAGACTGTCAAATAGCGAGGTGAGATCAAATAGTAATGATGATAAGAAATCACCATAAATGTTCATTGACGAAGCAGATAATATTAATCTAGCTATTATTTCTATAATCTTGTCCGTATTGGACATTTAGTTTACAAGAAACCAATAACGGGACGTCTTTATCAAACTATCATTGGACATTATTATTCCTTATCTTTAGAGTCAATTCAAAGTAACGTTAAATAGAAAGATATCCACACTCCATTCAAATACCGTCATTTCAGGTTTTCCTGTAAATTTTCTTTAAAGGAACAATGCACACTTTCCTCAGGTTGAACACTAAAATATTTGTAATCTGGGATCAAACTGAGATGATTTTGAGTGTATTGAACGAATGTGAAGTTATACCAGTTATAATACCACCACCCCTTCACGCACGTTTATGTAACACCCTCTGATAAGATTGAATTACCCTCATTATTTGCGCTCGGAATAATAAAATTAGTGGAGCGTTAATTGCCGGGTAAGATTTATACCCTGTTTATATCTGGATTGATCATTATCGGAAATGAAACCAGTTTGCTTTTACGCGTGGTTCTGTAATGTGTGATTGTTATTCTTTATTATATAACGCAAACGAATTAAATGAAGTTTCATCCACGCACGTGATTTTTTGGCGCAAAAAGAAAAAGAAAAATAAACAAAATGGTATGCGCGCTGATTTGGTTTGACCTGGGTATTACAGTGGCTTCCTTTTCCCTCCTTGTCTGATGTTACATGTATTATCCTCTTTTAGATGACCCTCTATACCACGATATATATATAATTCGTCTCAAATTTAGCCCAACAATGTTAGATCATCGAATTTGCGTTAGCAAATTTTTGTTCTTCCTTCAGCGGGATTCGAACCCTTGCGTCTGTGACATCGTTTCAACACCGCCTGCACCGTGTCCAGCGCCCTAGACCACTCGACCATCAAGGCTACATAAAAATATAGCTTTCGGTGGTCGATGTAATGCCTTTCCTCGTCGGCTTTATCTAGGGTTGTAACACAGTACATGATGTATAGTGGCAAGTAGATGGTGTACTTTTCAGATCAGCTTTTTTGTCCGTCGTAAAGGATGATAATGTTAATTACCATGCCGCCACATCATATATATATATATATATATATATATATATATATATATATATATATATGTAGGCAACAGGAATATGCTCAGTAAAAGCAAGAATAGAACCCTCCTTTTAATCCTTCGGAGAAGAAAGATACATGTAAGCAAAACACCAGTTGTAATAATTAACGCACCTATCGGACTTATCATAGTTGGGTTACTGTCTTATACCCGATATATATATCCATGTTCATTCCTATAACGCAAGTATCGGACTAATCGTACGTGGGTTGCTGTCTTATACCCGATATATACCTTTTTATACCTATAACGAATTTATCGGACTTATCATACATTGGTTACTGTCTTATACCCGATATATATCCATGTTAATATATTTTGTATATATTACGCAAGTATCGGACTTATCATACATGGGTTGCTGGCTGATAGCCGCCATATATCCCTTTTCATATCTATAACGCATGCGTGCAACGGTCGATAGAAAGTGTTTCACGTTTGAGTTAATTCGTGTGTACCATGAAAGAATAAATCAAAAATTAAACCACTTCAAATACGTAATATAAACAAAAGGAACGAAAAAAGTTTAAAAAATAATCAAATAAACTTATGTATTAAATATCAAAACTATTTTTTTTAGAACAGAAATATATATGAACTAAAAAGCATAGACACTGTTATGAGGATTAATTATGAAAATGCTTTCATAACACATCTCCGTACAAAGCACCAAATCTAAAACCTCAAATGGAGGTAATGGCCGCATAGCAAGACTGTGGCTGTCCCTTTGAGTGGATTGCTGCTGAGAAGTAAGTACAGAGTTTGTTCATTCCGTCTCTGTTGTTATGACACATTGATTATTGGTGATAAATTGAAGAAATTGAGTCTTTAGATGGCTAGCAACACTCATCAAAGACACCAGGCTTATAATTTGAATTGGTATACATACGACTCGTTAGTAGCGCTCAAATCAAAATAGTTTGAAGGCAAAATCGCATAAGAAGTCGAAGAGCACTAAAAACTTTCGAAAAGTTGTAATATAAAATGCTATATACCATACTCTTCTTGTGCAAAACGATGGAGAAGGATTGGTAAGCATATGGTCTATCACGTCATGGTGTATGTCTATTGCCGCATTCAACAAACTTTGCCATCTGGAGTTGATAAGCATGATTGGCAAACAAATTTTCGAAGACTTCTGTTTTCATCGAATTTGCTTTTATTCGTACATGGCTGTTCGTGCAACTATACATATTTGACTAGATTGCGGTGATTTGATATTGATTTGGCTTAAAGATATCGGAAAAATAGCTGAACCAAACAATTATTGATTTTTGAGGAAAAAATAAGCGCCTCTTGTCTGGTCTGATAAGTCAAATATCTATCTAGGGAAGTATAATTACTTGTGTCGCCTTTTAAGTATTTACAGAACATTTTTTCTGAAGCTACCTACCTATATTTTGAAGAAAAATTTAAGTTACGTTGTCAACATTATCTATCATCTGCTGTTGCATGATAAAAAACAGCTAAAATTATCTTGTATAAATCAGTGTTTACAAAAAAATTATGCAAGTGTTTTTTTCTGTTTTCAATGACAAAATTCATTTTTGATAAATTTTGAATCTCTAGGTTATACGTTCCTCAAATATGAACAACTGAAGGACTTTGGCACGCTTATAATCATACCAAAAGTTCGAAAAAAAGTTGTGGTATTTTGCAAATAAACATTGTATTGATATACAGCACGGTTCATTCTTTGAATTTGAGCTTTGGTGTAGCTTTATATCCTGATTCAATCTACCGCTTTCATTCACATGTGCTTGTTCCAAGTAAGAACTACTAAGAACATGTTTCTTTCAAAAAGAAAATTCTCCAAATAAACAATCCACATTAAAATTCTAGATAAGACAACTAATGACAAGGTTTCTGAACTGCAACTAACACATGGCGATATTTGACAGGATCAAAATGGGTGAGAGAATATACCATGGGGCTAACGAAAATCATTACACCAATAAAAACAAACAACACCATGGCCAAAGATAACACGGCGAAAATCATTACACCAATAAAAACAGACAACACCATGGCCAAAGATAACACGGCGAAAATCATTACACCAATAAAAACAGACAACACCATGGCCAAAGATAACACGGCGAAAATAATTACACCAATAAAAACAGACAACACCATGGCCAAAGATAACACGGCGAAAATCATTACACCAATAAAAACAGACAACACCATGGCCAAAGATAACACGGCGAAAATAATTACACCAATAAAAACAGACAACACCATGGCCAAAGATAACACGGCGAAAAGACAAACAACAACAAAACACCACACAGGAAATCAAAGATTTGGGCAACATAGAACCCAACAAAAACCGGAAGTGAACTCAGAAACTCCAGAATGTGACAACATTTGGTAATGTTACAATCGAATAAAAGATTACGGGATTGTGGCAACGATAAATCAATCTAACCGTGTTCATCTGTGACACTGTGTCAATCTAGTTTTATTTAGATCTCAATTCTCACTTTTTTTTATCTTGACAAATTTTGTTGCATCACAGATGAAAAGATTTGACGCCATAGTTAAAAAGTGATTGTTGCATGACATCAAAATGTTATTTTGGAACTAGGTCTATAGTCATTCGGAGACAACTCAGTTAAAATAACAAAAGAATCACTTACCTGTAAATTTGTAAAATAACGATGAAATAGATAACAAAAAGATAAGTACGAAAAAAACAATAATAATTACACGTATGTTTCTTACTATTCTCAACATCTATCGGTTGTTTATTTATCTATTTTTACAAGAGCAATAGCTGTTAATATAAAACTTGTCAAATTTTACAGGTGGAAACTGCACCGCATCTGGATCAACTATCAACAGGAAGTGAAGACGCTGTTGAATCTTGCAGTCATTACAAATACCAGATGACCTACAATTTACGGAATTATTTGTTTAAAAAAACATAATATGGTCGTAAAAACACAGGTGTCTATACAATAGATCAAGTTCTAAATCGCCCATCCTGAGTGTTACAAATTTGCTAGGAGTAAAAATATAACGAAAAAGCTAAAGGTCATCCAATATTAACAACAGGTCCCTCCTCCCTTTCTTCAAATTAAATCGAATTTGAAAGCATCCGTCACTATAAGTAGTGTTTTAGTTGTTAAGTCAACGTATTAATAGGAAAAATCTTGATTTCCTGTTGTAAGCCTTCTTGAATGCTTTAAACTGTTTGAAATATAAACTTCCATGAAAACAAACCTAAATGATGTGGTAAATATTTCCTCTCTTCATTAAAATTTAAGTATAAAAAGAAGATGTGGTATGATTGCCAATGAGACAACTCTCCACAATAAACCAAATGACACAGAAATTAACAACTATAGGTCATCGTACGGCCTTCAACAATGAGCAAAGCCCATACCGCATAGTCAGCAATAAAAGGCCCCGAAATGACAAATGTAAAACAATTCAAACAAGAAAACTAACGGCCTAATTTATGTACAAAATAATGAAGAAAAACACACCTGTTTTATTCGATTTTGTTTTGCGAGCAACTGCTACGTAATCTGTCACAATATACAAGGAAGTTAACAGGAAACCACTGACTTAATTAAATGCAGTATACTCAAGTTTAATCGTTTGGCATTAAGGTTAAAGCATATTAAATCTACAAATATGTTATACTTACACACACTCTCCTATAGGTATAAACTGTTTATATGGTGGGATTCCACCAATAAAATGAACAATCTCTCTTTGTATACCGTCTGTATTTATCAGATGTGTATCACTTATGTGGCCGAGGCTTCTAAAATAAACCATTTTTTTTATTAAATATATCGACAAATATTTTTGTCTTTTCTAATGAAAATATCCCTTTTAAAAGCAAACTCTGTATCATTAACCATTATATCTGCAAGCAGTAGGAAATACAGTTTTTTTTATCACCTTTACATTTTAAATCTTAAAAGAGTTACTTACGTTGGGCAACATTGGTCACCATCGTCATCTGATGTAAAGCCCGGTCTACCTGGTATGGCTGGTTTGTCGGGTTCCCCTGGTTTTCCCGGTATAGTTTGCCGTAGATGTATAAGTCTATTAAGATTATCCAATTTGTTAATTTCATCTCGTGTAAAAAATAAATTGACAAACAGTTTTTGAAAGTCGCCAAATGAATGTCCAGCACACCTTCCTTTCCTACAAAAATTTTTCCCGAAAGATTCTAGTCCTCCTACAAATGCAGGTTTAGACGGCTTTTCAGGTGTGTGGCTATTGAAATCGGAAATATTTTTGGAACTTTTTGAACGGTAAAACGGGTCAATAAAGTTGTAAAATCCAGGATGAGAACTTTCATCTATGTAAAGAATACCGTTTACAGGTTTTCTTTTATATGCATAGCCTACCGCTTCTTCTCGAATGGACTGACTTCCATCTATTACATAACAGTTAAAGATAATCAGAAATAAGGTTAGCGACATCATTTGGTCAACGCCAACTCGGAAAACTGATCATATACAGAATCTGCTGGTTTTTGTCTGCATGTTGTCTTATATATTTACAATTAAAAGTAGGATTTATTATGCAGATAAAAATATTAATTCGCATTGATTTCTCCACTAAAACATTTTATTTATCGTAAACGGTTACAGTTTTCTGGTACATTTACATTAAAAAGTTATTATAATAATTGTAATAAAACAGTGCTATGAACTTTTTATATATGTTGTATACCTTTAGTATTCAGTCTTAACTGAAGTAAGTAAGAATATCATTATAATCACATTTGATGTCAGAAAATCACGTTTACTGCATTAAAAGAATTAAGCAGTTATTTGTAAAATCAAACAGGGTCATACTCGATATAACTTAAATGGATTTTTTCCAACAAGTGATTGAATGCATTTATATTATACGAAAAGAATATCTTACGTCAAATGCATACTACGGATATCACTTAGGAAAGGCTTCAACCGTCAAATGAAAATAACATTTGATAACTTTCGTGCTCCCGAAGCGCTTTTCCCTTCACCAGAATGGCTAAAATCTAAATATTTGAAAGGAGGGATGCATAAATACGTAGAAACGTTCTGAGCTACAATGTATATGACCAAAAAGGACCTTAAAAGAATTGCCAACATAAATAAGAAGATGTGGTATGAGTGCCAATGAGACAACTATCCATCCAAGTCACAATGTGTAAAAAGTAAACAATTATAGGTCAAAGTACGGCCTTCAACACGGAGCCTCGGCTCACACCGAACAGCAAGCTATAAAGGGTCCCTGGATCCTATTGTTTATAATGTTTTTTCTTATAAAGTATGATTTTATTTATAGAATAAGATATTGTTTAAACCAACATATGAATAATAGAGCCATCCTAAAACATACTGTAACCAAGATTTAGTTTGTATTCTAATTTTGAATTTAAGGTTACAATCTCGTCACTTCAGTTAGAATCAAATTAATTACATACAAAAAAAAAATCCAATGTTGTTTATAAGATTGAGTTTTCATGGATTGATGCATGAGAACAAGAACAAAATCACGACATTAGGCCCCATATAGAGTAAAACAAATGTAAATGACAATAAAACCATGAGAGCATTTTAATGGATATATAACATGTTAATTTTTCGGAATATGTTGTTAATATGCGACATTTACATAGAAAGTGAACATATGACCCTTCTGACTTGTGAGTAAGTCGACCGAGTATACACGTCAACGACAAAAGAAAGGTTTAAGATAACAAATGGACATCCAAATTCATAAGTCGAAAATGAGCTGACAAGGCCATGACTAAAAAAAAGAAAAGGACAACTGGCCCGGGAGGGGATCGCAAGTGCTCCAGAATGGTGAGCAGATCCTCCTCCACATGTGACCCCGACGTGTTGCTAATGTAAATACAAATCCGGTAATAAGTCTTATTCGGTAGGTGACATTCGGGGAAAAGAGGACGGGATTGTGGTTACGACAATTGAAAGATATCCGTCGTCATCTGTGAAACAGATATTTCATAACGGTCAACCAACTCTGTAATGGCGTCCGTACAATTTTCAAATGGATGATTTCAACTTCACCACTTGGAACTCTTGGTCTAATAGCTTCCTGGGATTTAATTCAAAGTCTTGATGGTTTAAGAACTTCCTTGTGAGCAGCAACTCTCTTTCAAGGAAATCATGATATGAAATGCAAGCCCTTGACTATCGTATCAACTTGGACTTGTATACTCCATATGTTGGCGCTGCTGGAATATTGCTACATAGACATGGAAAGTTCACAATCGGGAAGCTGAAATCATCTCTTGTCGTAAAGTTTTGTTCTTAACCGACCCTCATTATCAATTTCTAGATGTAAGTCAAGATATGAGGCAGATTTAACATGTATATGTTTTATTCTTTATTTCAAGGTCGATGGGATAAATGCGTTCGACAAAGTCACCAAACTTTGAATTATTTAGTCAGAGAATATCATCTATATAGCAGAAGGTGAAGTTGAAATATAATGCTAGCTTTTCTTCATTATCCCTAAGAACTTTTTGTATGAAGTCAGCCTCATAGGAATAAAGGAATAAGTCGGCAAGAAGAAGAGCACAGTTGGTTCCCATGTGAATGCCGATTGTTTGTATGAAAACACGTCCTCTAAACGTAACAAATCTGTTATCAATCAAGAAGTCTTATAATAATAATCTTTATTTACAAAAGTCATAATAACTATAGTCAAGCATCTTGATAATGTCAGTTTCAGAGAATTTTTTGTTTGAATCAGAGTGATTTTAAACACAGTACGATTTATCCCTCCTTAAGACAAGATACATGTATCTATGCTGGCCATTTGTTTTTATGAAACAAGGCAGGATCAACTCTTTTTATTTGTCTTTTAGTTTGGAAAAGTGTAAGGAGTAGAAAAATAAAATGTTTTAATACTACTGCAAGATGAAAGAGTTTTAGATTGTATGTACTCTAACAGATCTTTGGAACATTTTAGTATACACATCTGATTTACACTGCCTCTAGAATAGATAGTGTCACAATAACTTTGAAGCCCGGCTATGATAACTGATTAAATCGATGTTAATAATTTAGAAAGTGGTTTTGTGGAGCACTTGGAGGTTCAGCAATATAACGATGTGTGTAATGACACTTATGCAATTTAGGTACCCGAAACAGTGAAGGAAGATCCAGTTCTTAGTATTTGGTGAAATTCCAAAAGGAACATAGAACAGACCTATGGTTATCAAGGATTTGCCCTTTGGTAAGTGTCTAGGTGATATATGTTGAGTTTTTAAATGATTTGTTAATACCTAATTCATTTATTAATCAGTTTGTGTAATGTTATTTACACTCAAAACGATGTTGTTTGCGGCTTTATCTGCGGGGACAATAACATATTTGTCTTCGAGGTAGGACAGGTGCTTTACAGCATTTTTTGTCTTTAAAGATTGATGTATAATATGTATTCATAGACTGATTCATTCTTGTACCAACGACCTCACAGCCTAAATCAAATCGGAAAGAGAATCTATGTCTTCTTTCTCGCGTTTAACCCATTGCCTGGCATAATCCTCGACTGAAGTCATCAGTATTTTGAAGTTGTGTTTCCGATAGATGGATATACTCTCCCGATATTTCGGGCCTTTGGATTACACATTGAAGAAGTTTTATTGACAATGTTTAGGCCACCGGTAATAACGTGGCCAGTCGGATTATATCTGAACGGGTGCAATCAGGAATTTTAGACTTGAAGTTGTCAATGTTGAGATACTGCAACACGTGTTTGTAATTGAAAATTTTAGTTGCAATTGGTCTGGTATAGGTATAAGAAATGATATGTACAGACTGATCCTTAAAATAGGGAAGTATTTTCGGGTGAACTGATAATGAAGAAGGATATTACCGAAATTGATGGCATCGAGACCTTTGGTAACAAAGGAAATTTTTAGAATGGATCTTTTCTCCTATTCGTCTTTTCCAATTCTAAGTGGTTTGAAAAGTCTGTGACTGGTAATATCCGATGCGACAGCTGTAAGTTTGTATTGGTTTGAATGGGGTTTTGTAACAGTGGTGTCAAAACATAAGTTGTATAGATAACGAAGTTTTTATAGCTTCCTTGAGAGCAGTAACCATCTATCAAGGAAATCATGATAGAAAATGCAGGTCCTGGAATATTAACTGGAAGATATATACTCCATGTACAGGCGCTGCTGGAATGTTGCTACATAGAAATTGAAAGTTCACAATCGGGACGCTAAAATCATCTCTTTTGTTATAAATGTTTGTTCTAACCGACCTTCATTGCCAATTTCTAGATGTAAGTAAAGATATGAGGCAAACTTAAACCATTGTCGTGACGTCAGCCTATTCATTTACCGTGGATTCTTTTTCTAGAATCAACGCTTTCTAAATCTGTCGCTGAAATGAGCTCACCAAATTACATTCAATTGTTTCTTTTGTGTGCCTAATTTCATTAAGTTTGAATTGGTTAATTTACTGATTTCTGTCCCCTCATGGAATTGATTTAAAAACTTACCTTTAATTTTTGTAGTTTTTATATGCCTTCACTGGGATTGGAACCCCTCCTTGAAATCTGTTATGTGTGACTGGCATCAACACATCAACGAAACCTCTCGGCTACCAATTGGTTGCAGTTTAGATGTGTATTTTATATATATAAATGAGCATATGATACACATCGGTACAACAAACACACAGGGCTTATACCTTTATATATACATAATAGGCAATTGTTTAGTATAAGTTGGTAGCCGCGAGGTTAACATGGTTATAATCAATGAGTCAAGATAAAGGTAGAGACTTGTCGGTCTAGGTTCGAATCCCTGTACTCTCTTTGTTGTCCCTATTCTTTAGTTTTTCCGTTTTTCTTAAGTTGTATATTATTGTTGATATTTTTGAAATGATATCGGGTTATCCGTTTATTTTTGGATTATTTTTGGCTATTTCATATATTTGAAAGAAAATGATTACATTCAATTTGTCCATTTTTGTTTTATAAATATAGTATGCTTTCATCTGTTTTACTACATATCTTTACAAATGTTTATTCGCAAATCCCTATGCGAGTAAATCGTGATGTGCCTAGAAACATACTTATTATATATACTTAAAAATAAGTTCGAATATGTCTTATTTTGTAAATTACAGATAATATTCAGATGCCTGATAATTTAAAGACAGACGTGTTGTGTCATATTTGCATTTCCCTGACCAATTAATTGTGAACTTAGATTTATTAATGCATCGTTGAGCATAATGACAATGTTATTTAAACTCACTTACAATACCTTCTAATTAAGAAAAGGCTTTAATTTTGAAAAGGCATCAACACAATAGTTTAAGTTAGAGATACAATGGATAAGCGTTGATTCATGAAAAACAAACAATTCAAGAATCAACGCTTATTCATTGTATATAACTTGGTCTATATAACTTAAACCATTGTCGTGACGTCAGCCTATTCATTTACCGTGGATTATTTTTCTAGAATTAACGCATCCTAAATCTGTCGCTGAAATGAGCTCACCAAATTATATTTTTATTATAATTGTTTCCTTTGTGTGTCTAATTTCATTAAGTTTGAATTGCTAATTTACTGATTGCTATTCACTGATGGAATTAATTTAAAAACTTATCTTTAAGTTTTGTAATTTTCATATGCCTTAACCCCTTCTTAAAATCTGTTATGTGTGACTGACATCAACACATCGACGAAACCTCTCGGCTACCAATGGGTTGCAATTTAGATGTCTATTATATATATAAAAATGAACATATGATACACATCGGTACAACGGACACACAGGGATTGTACCTTCATATATATATAATGATGGTAAATTGAGGTAAAATATTTAAAGAAATAAATTTTAATATTTCATATAAAACTAAGTTAATCTTACATGTAATTGTATAAAATAAATAATTCTTGTATAAAGCTTTTTGTGTAAAAAGATATATTTAGAAAGTCTATAATGTTATGTAACTTTTGATATATAAGTATTAGAAGTGAAATTCTTCCTATTTGACACTTAGCGATATAAATAAGGTTTGACAGCTTAATTTCCCGCATAATATATACATAATAGGCAATCGTATAGTATAAGTCGGTAGCCGCGAGGTAAACATGTCTGGGCCTTTGGCTGTTTTTTTAACTCTTTGATCGGGTTGTTGTCTCTTTGACACATTCCCCATTTCCATTCTCTATTTCATTAAAAGATCAATGAGTTATAGAGTCTAGTTAAGGGCAGAGACTTGTCGGTTTAGGTTCGAATCCTTGTATTCTCTTTGTTGTCCCTATTCTTTAATTTTTCCTTTTTTTCTTATTATGTATGTTATTGTGGATATTTTTTTTGCAATAATAGCGGGTTTTCCCGTCTATTTATGGATTATTATTGACCAGTTCACATACTTGAAAAGAAAATGATTACATTCAGTTTGTCCATTTTTGTTTTATAAATATAGTATAATTTCATCTGTTTTACTACATATCTTTTACAAATGTTTATTCGCAAATCCCTATGAGAGTAAATCGTGATGTGCCTAGAATTAGGCTTCTTGCTAGAAATTTCGGTAACATACTTATTATATATACTTAGAAATAAGTTCGAATATGTCTTATTTTATAAATTACGGATATTATTCACATGCCTGATAATTTAAAGACAGACGTGTTATGTTATATTTGTATTTCTCTAACCAATAAATTGTGAACTTATATTTAATAATAAATCGTTGAACACGATAACATGGTTATTTAAACTCACTTACAATACCTTCTAATTAAGAAAAGGCTTTAATTTTTAAAAGACATCAACAGAATAGTTTAAGTTAGAGCTACAATGATAAGCGTTGATTCATTGTACTGTGTCTGAATGATTGCTAGTTTCTTTTCATTATTCATAAAAAGAAGCTTTTGTATTAAGTCAGCTTCATGAATGAAGGAACAAGTCAGCAAGAAGAGGGGAACAGTTGATTCCCGTGGGAATGCCGATTGTTTGTCATTCAATCGTAACAAATATGTTGTCAATCAAGATATCAAGCATCTTGATAATGCCGGTTTCAGAGAATTTTCTAATTTAACAACCTTCATTAAAATCTAGAAATTGCTAACGTCTGGTTGAAACCTATCATGTCATTTCCAAGAAAATTACAAATAAATACTGCCGCGCTAAAAACAATGATAATCAAACTTTGCTTCTTTTATTTCATGAAATATTTATAATGAATACAACAACATATACAAAGCACGACGAAGTAACAATGATGAATGCACGACTAAACTGTACCGTTGTCCTTCAATGCGAACTGGGAGTTTATTTTGGTTTATGAATTGCTGCGTCGTTCCAGTAATTCCAGATTTGTTTAGCAATATTTTGACCTGTGCTTGGGAGATCCATAATTTTTAATTCGGATTTCGAATGAAACCGCAAGGGCTGACCTTTGATTTTTGCAGTGACGAACAATTTGCTGAATGCAAAAGTATCAGGATTCAAAGATTTCTGATCGAGTTCAACCTGAAAGTAAAAACAAAAATAAAATAAAAAGAGGGAAACAAAAATCATGAAAAAATTATAAAGCAGCACAACTCGGTGATGATCTCTGGAAAGGTGTCAAGTGGAAAAGTTCTAGACTCGCTACTTATTTTTATATTGTTACTTTCCAGCGGTTAATATTATTTATAAATTCGTTTGAATATTGCTTCCTGGTTCTGAAATGTTTTGATTCGAAATTCTCCAATTAATTCATAAACGCACAAAAAGTATCTGAATAGTTTTTCTTCAATTTATACTTACATCTGGGACTGATATATGTATCTATTGGTCTCAACTTACATTGATTGAACTGCTAACCAAAGATTCACAAAATTATGTTACCACATAGTGTATTTGGACCAGTAAATCGAATAGGATATGGTTAAGGCTAATTCGCTCTGGAAACAAAGCATTGTTGAAAAGTAAAAGTATTTTAGCTTTACAATTTAACAATATCTCAAAGGAATTGTTGTGCAATTGATTTTTCTATGCAATCAACCTTATTGAATTTTTACACAGACAAACGCAACATCCAGAAGTACTGATCTTGCTGTTGGACAGATTCTACACTGTACAAATACCAGCTACCCCTATTTCCATATCGTTTCTACTTTCAAATTACCTTTGTAAGGATGTTTCTGTCAGATATGACTGTAGCTTCGATCTGTTCAAGTTCTTCCAGTTTCAAATTTATCTGATTTATTTTGCCCACAATAACATCACCGCATACTGCCAAAAAAAAATTCGCAAAAAATAATTTGATACATATAAAACAAATTAAAAATAAATGTCCAACATATAAAACAAATTAAAAATAAATGTCCAAACTAATATATGAAAATGATTGAATAAAATACTAATTAATAAAATACTAATTAATAAAATACTAATTAATAAAATACTAATTAATAAAGTTTAAATAAGGTAAACTTCACTTACCACATTCATTGAATTAATAAATTTAATGAAGGGAGGAAACAAATAAAAAAATAAGGCCGAAGAAGGACACACAATATCATGCCAAAGAAAATAAACGAAAAGAAAAAAAAAAGCCACTTAGTCTACAAAATAGAACACTAAGTCTTAGCAACACAACCCGGCCCAAAATGGAGGGGGATACAGGTGCTTCGGAGGTGAAAATAGTTTATTTTACGGAACCTAACTAAGGAACGAAGTCGTGATGACGATCGTAAAACTATCAAAATAAGTGCTTTGGTGAGCCACTACTTATTCGGCTTCATAGTTAAATTCGGTGTTTTTTAATGATACACATAATAATATGACTATCACTACGCTGTGTATTGTAATGATAATAAATTCCTACCTTCTTGGATAACGTCTCCATCAGTAATGTTGCTTGTTTGTGGACATGACTGACATCTTGTTCTATATTCAGCACAGACAGTAGAATTTTTCGACATCACATCACATTTAACTTCATGTAATGGATCAGAAATAATTTGAGCTTGACGTTTTTTCCTTCCAAACATGTTTGCTGAAAAAACATAGCAGATTATTTAGAGTTGTGTTTCTTTGTCTATATAAAAATAAGAAGATTTGGTATAATTGTCAATGAGACAACTATCCACCCAAGTTCAAATGAAGAGTATGTAAGTTAATATAGGCAACCGTACGGCCTTCAACAATGCATAAAACCCCACCCTAACCCATACCGTATAGTCGGCTATAAAAGGCCTCGACATGAAAAAATATGAAACAATTCAATTGAGAAAACTAACGGCCTAATTTAATATAACAAAACAATTTACGAAAAACAAATATGACAGACATGAACCAACGACAACCACTGAACTATAGGCTCCTGACTTGGGACATGCGCAAATTTGGCGGGGTTAAACATGTTTGTGAGCGCTCCACACTCCCCTAACCTGGCGGGACAGTGGTGTAACAGCACAACATAAGAGCAAACTATAAAAATCAGTTGAAAAGGCTTAACTCATAAGAACGATGCAAAGCAGAAAAAAAAAACATCAAACAAAAACAAAGACCGGACGTGGCAGTGTATTTATCCATCCCTCATCCCTAACAACAAAAAAGACACTAAATACAGATCTGGGAGTACTCTCAGATACTGACAGCCAATAATAACTAATAAAAAAAATCACGTATTTAAAACTAAAGTTCTGTACACACAAGCATGCATATTGCAATTAATCCTAACGATGATCATAATGAGATAAAGTCAAAGAAGATTAGCTTCAATCCACCATGTGAAACCCTCTACGTCAACCTTGACGATCTGAGGCAGTGATTTTTTTTGTTACTTGCAATTGCTACATATACATCTGCTTTCATGCATATGCTAGGATGATTGATTGATTGTTTGTTTGTTTTAATGCATGTTCAGGACGAGAACAAAATAAAAACTAGAGGCTCTTAAGAGCCTGTGTCGCTCATTTTGGTCTATGTGCATATGCAACAAAGGACACTCTTCAACATTGTAGACGAGAATAGAATTCATGAAAAAATCTCTATTTTGTTGATCTTGTATTGTTGATCATTTAGTCTGTTTAGTTTCTCCCTATCTTCTTTAGTAATGGCTCAAAACACAAAAGAGGGTGAAACAATAATCTTTTAAGGGCAATCACTCCTATAAAGAGTGACAGTCTACTGACTATATCGGCAAAATTTGACTTGTTAGTAAATCTTGCCTTGTTGATCATTTTTGTGATTTAAAGTGTCGATTTATCTATAATTATAATTTTTATCATATTAATCAAAACGCCAAAAAATGGTAAAAATCGTCATTATTAGAAGAGTTAATTTAACTCTCGTTGGGTTATTTACGTTTGAAAAAACACTTTATTTCATATGAACTCAGCTTCAGTCAAACCCGGAGTTTTCATTTAAAGGACCATTACTCCAATAAGGAGTCATCGGACGATTTCCTTCATTTGTCTTAATTGTAGATCTTGTCTTGCTGATCATGTTTGATTATTTAAGTTTCTATCTATCTATTATAATTTTAAGATATAAGGCAAAAACGCAAAAAAATTGGTAAAAATCGTCATCAAAGGGCAACATTTCTATTAAGGAGTCGACAGACGATTTCCTTCATATTGTCTTAATAGTAGATCTTGTCTTGCTGATCATGTTTGCTTATTTAAGTTTCTATCTATCTATTATAATTTTAAGATACAAGGCATAAACGCAAAAAATTGGTAAAAATCGACATCAAAGGGCAACAATTCTATTAAGGAGTCGACTGACAATTTCGACTATGAAACTTATTGTTAGAACTTGTCTTGCTGATCATTTTTGCATTTTAAAGTTTTTCTCTACCTATTATAGTTTTCAAGATAATAGGCAAAAATAAAGAAAAAAAAATGGTAAAATTTGTCATTTAAGGGCAATAACTCCTACAAGAAGTCGTCTGACAGTTTTGACATATATAGACAATCGGTAGAGCTTAACATTCTTAACATTTTTGCTTTGTCAGATTTTCATTATTAATAACGGATTTCAAATTGGTCTGTAGAGGTTTGATTACTTGGTATTAAATAAAATATATAGTATATGGTCTGTAGAGGTTTTGTTACTTGGTATTAAATAAAATATATAGTAAATGGTCTGTAGAAGTTTTATTACTTGGTATTAAATAAAATGTATATAGTAAATGGTCTGTAGAAGTTTTATTACTTGGTATTAAATAAAATATAAAGTAAATGGTCTGTAGAGGTTTTATTACTTGGTATTAAATAAAATATATAGTAAATGGTCTGTAGAAGTTTTATTACTTGGTATTAAATAAAATATATAGTAAATGGTCTGTAGAAGTTTTATTACTTGGTATTAAATAAAATATATAGTAAATGGTCTGTAGAAGTTTTATTACTTGGTATTAAATAAAATACATAGTAAATGGTCTGTAGAGGTTTTATTACTTGGTATTAAATAAAATATATAGTAAATGGTCTGTAGAGGCTTTATTACTTGTTTATATAAAATATATAGTAAATGGTCTGTAGAGGTTTTATTACTTGGTATTAAATAAAATATATAGTAAATGGTCTGAAAAGGTTTTATTATTTTGTGTCATTAGGTTGCTGTCTGAATGATACCGTTCAAAGATCCCCTTTTATTATCTTTGTTTTCTTTCCGTTCAAAGATCCCCTTTTATTCTCTTTGTTTTCTTTCCGTTCAAAGATCCCCTTTTATTCTCTTTCCGTTTAAAGATTCCCTTTTATTCTCTTTGTTTTCTTTTTTGTGTTGTTGAAGACTAAATGTTAACGCTTTACAACAAAAAGAAGAAAAAACATTAGCGAAAAAAACTGTGAACTGCTCTTCGTTTCTAAAAGAAGTTTGGGATTTTTAACAGAGATTATCAAAAATAAATATAACAATTGACAATCTTTGACACTATTCCTATCTTAGGGCGGATTACTTTACATTTAGCAGGGATTAAACTAGTTTCATGAAATCACAACCGGTCTTTCCTGTTTATCTCTATCAGCGGAAGTCCCAAACTTATAATTATTACATAAAAAGCTGGTTGCTAAATACTACTCTTTATTTAATTGCTGCAGGTTGAATCATAACTCTGCAATAAATCTCTATATTTGAGATAAGATTCAGTTAAAACTCTGATTTTATGATGTCTACAAAATGAATATCCCTGCTGTTAATCGTTTTACGTTCATTGAAATCTAAGAAGTCTGATACTCCATACACGCGTGTAATATTTGTTGATGTAAGAATAAGTTGAGGCTGATACATTTCATTTTTATATTTAGTAAATCTGGATTATTTACAGATAATGTAGAAATCGTCTAAATATCGGTAAACATATCCGTTAAGTGCTGTTCTTCTAGATTATTCTCCTATCCCTCTGCCCATTGAAAATATCAAATGATTGTCCCCAAACTATCGGTTTTTTTTTCTTAAAGGAATGTGACTTTCTGTCAGACATCGTCCTGATATTTTTCACATCAAGGATTTATGTAGTACAACATGAATATAATCAGAGGATTTATGTAGTACAACAGGTATATAATCAGAGGATTTATGTAGTACAACAGGTATATAATCAGAGGATTTATGTAGTACAACATGTATATAATCAGAGGATTTATGTAGTACAACATGTATATAATGAGAGGATTTATGTAGTACAACATGTATATAATGAGAGGATTTATGTAGTACAACATGTATATAATGAGAGGATTTATGTAGTACAACATGTATATAATGAGAGGATTTATGTAGTACAACAGGTATATAATGAGAGGATTTATGTAGTACAACAGGTATATAATGAGAGGATTTATGTAGTACAACAGGTATATAATGAGAGGATTTATGTAGTACAACAGGTATATAATGAGAGGATTTATGTAGTACAACATGTATATAATCAGAGGATGTATGAAGTACAACATGTATATAATCAGAGGATTTATGTAGTACAACAGGTATATAATCAGAGGTATATAATCAGAGGATTTATGTAGTACAACAGGTATATAATCAGAGGATTTATGTAGTACAACAGGTATATAATCAGAGGATTTATGAAGTACAACATGTATATAATCAGAGGATTTATGTAGTACAACATGTATATAATCAGAGGATGTATGAAGTACAACATGTATATAATCAGAGGATTTATGTAGTACAACAGGTATATAATCAGAGGATTTATATAGTACAACAGGTATATAATCAGAGGATTTATGTAGTACAACAGGTATATAATCAGAGGATTTATGTAGTACAACAGGTATATAATCAGAGGATTTATGAAGTACAACATGTATATAATCAGAGGATTTATGTAGTACAACATGTATATAATCAGAGGATGTATGAAGTACAACAGGTATATAATCAGAGGATGTATGTAGTACAACAGGTATATAATCAGAGGATTTATGTAGTACAACAGGTATATAATCAGAGGATTTATGTAGTACAACAGGTATATAATCAGAGGATTTATGTAGTACAACAGGTATATAATCAGAGGATTTATGTAGTACAACAGGTATATAATCAGAGGATTTATGTAGTACAACAGGTATATAATCAGAGGATTTATGTAGTACAACAGGTATATAATCAGAGGATTTATGTAGTACAACAGGTATATAATCAGAGGATTTATGTAGTACAACAGGTATATAATGAGAGGATTTATGTAGTACAACAGGTATATAATGAGAGGATTTATGTAGTACAACAGGTATATAATCAGAGGATTTATGAAGTACAACAGGTATATAATCAGAGGATGTATGTAGTACAACATGTATATAATCAGAGGATGTATGAAGTACAACATGTATATAATCAGAGGATTTATGTAGTACAACAGGTATATAATCAGAGGATTTATGTAGTACAACAGGTATATAATCAGAGGATTTATGTAGTACAACAGGTATATAATCAGAGGATTTATGTAGTACAACAGGTATATAATCAGAGGATTTATGAAGTACAACATGTATATAATCAGAGGATGTATGAAGTACAACAAGTATATAATCAGAGGATGTATGATGAGAGGATGTATGTAGTACAACATGTATATAATCAGAGGATGTATGTAGTACAACATGTATATAATCAGAGGATGTATGTAGTACAACATGTATATAATCAGAGGATGTATGTAGTACAACATGTATATAATCAGAGGATTTATGTAGTACAACATGTATATAATCAGAGGATTTATGTAGTACAACATGTATATAATCAGAGGATGTATGAAGTACAACAGGTATATAATGAGAGGATTTATGTAGTACAACATGTATATAATGAGAGGATTTATGTAGTACAACATGTATATAATCAGAGGATGTATGTAGTACAACATGTATATAATCAGAGGATGTATGAAGTACAACATGTATATAATGAGAGGATGTATGTAGTACAACATGTATATAATGAGAGGATGTATGTAGTACAACATGTATATAATCAGAGGATGTATGTAGTACAACATGTATATAATCAGAGGATGTATGTAGTACAACATGTATATAATCAGAGGATGTATGTAGTACAACATGTATATAATGAGAGGATGTATGTAGTACAACATGTATATAATGAGAGGATTTATGTAGTACAACATGTATATAATCAGAGGATGTATGTAGTACAACATGTATATAATCAGAGGATTTATGAAGTACAATATGTATATAATCAGAGGATGTATGTAGTACAACATGTATATAATCAGAGGATGTATGTAGTACAACATGTATATAATCAGAGGATGTATGTAGTACAACATGTATATAATCAGAGGATGTATGTAGTACAACATGTATATAATCAGAGGCGGTATGTAGTACAACATGTATATAATCAGAGGAGGTATGTAGTACAACATGTATATAATCAGAGGAGGTATGTAGTACAACATGTATATAATCAGAGGAGGTATGTAGTACAACATGTATATAATGAGAGGAGGTATGTAGTACAACATGTATATGAGAGGAGGTATGTAGTACAACATGTATATAATGAGAGGAGGTATGTAGTACAACATGTATATAATCAGAGGCGGTGAATGATCTGTATTAGTCTTCTTGACAATTTTGTAAAGTGTAAAACACTACTGAGAGACTGAAAGAAACAAAGAGAGAGAGAGAGAGAACACCATTGATGGAATAAAAAGTCAATTATCATCGACCCATCTTTCCTCGCTTCGTGTAAATACAATGAATAAATCTAAATTTAACAATATTTAAAAAAGACCATAAATTGACTAATAAATAATCTCAATGGCGGAGCCAGGAAAAGAGGGCCGATAACATTGAATATAGTACATAAATAACAAATTATTGGACGATTTTATGTCAAAATATCAAACAAACTGTGACTGTCCCCCTGGATCTGTAACAAAAAATTTGTTCCGGCGTGACATTTGTTCCGCCGGAACAAATTTCATAGGAAATATGTTCCACCGGAATTTATATCACAGAAAATATGTCCCAGCACTGTAAAATTTGTTCCGGAACTAATTTTTTGACTAAATGTGAAATAAGTTCCGGAACAAAAATCACAGCTCCATGAATTTTGTCCCAATATTAAATTTGTTTAAAAAGTTGAAATAAGTTCCTGCGATATTAGTTTTGAACGAAGATATTTCATAGAAATCAATGAGTAAGTTCTGCTCAAACCTATTTTACAGACAATAAGTACCTTTTCAACATATTGCACAGCGAAATATTTTCTTGTTACACTTAAAAATTATAATGCAAGCTTGATGCTGTACTATGCTTGCATAGGGTACATTTGCAATTGAAGGCATGGCTGTGACTGTAGGATGGAGATAAGAAATAAAAGCAATGGTAATGTATCATAATTTGTATTTATGTTTTATGTGGTATTCGACCTCCTTGTTTCCTGTTAGTATGTCATGGGTGTTCTAGTCAAACATGTACTTAGCTAAGGGAGGGCACAGTTACAAAAAAGTGTGTCTTTTGTTTCTTTATGTCTTTTAATATAATTGATCAGTCACTTTGTCCTTTTCAAATTAGGACAAATGTTCATCTTTAACTATACTTTTTTTTCTGAATGGTTTTTCTTATTCTACTCTTTTCTGGCTCATAAGTGTCATTTTGGTATTTTTTATTGAGTATGTTATTAAACATTTGTCTTACTCCACAAGATCCAAATTGGATGTTTACACGTTTTCTTTATTACATTATTAATATAATACCTGTTTTTATAATGTACTTGAATGATAACTTTAAACTCACCGATGACAAGTGCTCAGTATATAAGATAACTTGTTTAACCAGTGGAACATATTTCACAGACAAGGCATTTATTTCACCAGGTGAGGAACAAATCTCACAAACCCAGAACTTATTTCACCAGGTAAGGAACAAATCTCACAAACCCGGAACTTATTTCACTAGGTAAGGAACAAATTTCACCAATCCAGAACTTATTTTACCAGGTAAAGTGTGGAACTTTTTTTATAAAGATGGAACAAATTATATAGAAATTGTCTGTGAAAAAAGTTCTCCCAGAACATATTTCCTGTGATATTAGTTCCACTGGAAATTTTTTCACAGGAAAAAATTTTGGCTCACAGACCCACCACTTAATCTATTTGTCATACTTACATAACATGTGGTTAAGTGACTGACCAAAGTTATGTCTCCATTGACCAAGACCTTGGTGTAAATTCTGCAACATATTGTTAACATTTTTTTTGACTCCCATATTTACCATAGGCCCGATGTGAGAAACCATCCTATTTACGTTAGGACCTATTTGAGTGAGTGACTGATGCATTTGTGGACCTTGTTGTATCATCTGCATTCTAGGTCCAGTATTTGACCACATTTGGTTTACATTAGGCCCAATTTGCGATACCATCTGATTGACGTTAGGTCCAATCTGAGACACCATCTGATTGACGTTCGGTCCAATCTGAGACAACGTATGGTCCATGCCTGTCATTGACTGGTGGATATCATTGCCTACTCCGTCAAACATATGCTGAAGTTCATACTGCATACCACCAAGGTCAGTATTTAGTTCATTGAGCATTCTTTCGACTGCTTCATTCGCTACACGTGAAGTGTTCATATCGCCAACAACACTGTGCATCTGGTTCACAAACATGCCGGCACTGCCACCAAAATCGTTCATAACACTTCGTAAATGTACATGCATAGTGTCTCCCATACTTTTTATAGATGTTGCAAATGCTCCTTCTGGATTCATGACAGTTGTACAAGCCTTCGACTGTCCCCACATTACGGTACAAATCGTTGTGATTGGTCGCCCTCTGTCATTTACAGAATTGGACACAGAAACACCACCGCTATTTGGTGCTGATATTTGAATAGAACCGTTGCACTCTTTATACCTACAATTATGAACAAATACAATATACACTTTAGTACATGTCTTCTTGGTTTGGCAACGTAACTTTAAGTTGAAAGGCATGAACGGTGAGTATTTTTTTATATCACTGGAAATATGGTGGTATGTTTAGTTTTTGGTAGTTCAAAGAGACAAAAAGATCAGACAAAAGTTTAAACAAGATATGACGTCTTTTACTTTACATATAGCACAACACTTACACTCTTTATACAGAGCATCGCAAGTTGTGTATATATACCTTTAGAGGCAATCAAATACAGTGTGAAAGAAAACCAATAAAAGTACAAATTTCATCCTGGACTCTCATAACATTAACAGTACCAATTTTTCTGCACCAGATGAGCATTTCGACAATAAATGTCTCTTCAGTGGTGATCGAGGCAAACATATTTGAAAATCCAAAACTTATTTAAAAAGTGAAGAGCTTTTAAACCATAAAAAAACAAAAAGTATAGCCGAAGCCGAACAAGAAATCAGAGCTTTCATTGAGGGAGACATATTCCTTAATTTAGAATAATTTTCAAAATGTTCACGTGTTTTAAATCCATGCCCAGTAGGTCATAAGACAAAAACACCCAGCAGTAACTCCAAAAACAAAAAAATGCGCATAATATATAAGATATAACGGGGGAAAAACATGGATAGCTGAATGGAGGTGGCATACAAAATGCTTGAAAAAATTGTTTTGTTATAAATTTGCCGTTAGTTTTCTAAATTGAATTGTTTTATAATTTAAATGTCGGGGACCTTTTATAGCCGACTACTAGTATACGGTATTTTGGGGTTTTCTCATTGTTTGTGGTATGTACAAGTATTTTGACCATTGACCATGTTCTCTGTTTCTTGCTTATGGACTGAGGACCTCACACAAATGACTCTAGGTATGACATACCGTGTATACCAAACACATAAAGGGAAATAACTTCTATTACATGCAACCGGATCGCTTTGGTCTAAACTGAACAGATCATCCAGTGGAAATTACGAATATTTTGAAGAAACATATTAAGCGATATATTTTATGGTTTCTGAAGAGAAAGCGATAACTAGAGATAAAACAGTAAACGGGGAGATATTTCCAAAATAAAAAAGTGTTCGGTTGAACAGGATGAGATTCAAAAGCGCAATATTTGTTCAATATCATTATATTGAATATCTTATCGACATGTTGAAAAACAATAGCGACATTTAAGAAACAAGAGTAGCGGAAGATAAATTGATAATCAGAAAAAATTAAAGGTCTTTCCACGGAAAGGTGGAAATACCTAATCAAAATGACCTTCTAGATATTTCTTGAAAAAAGTACTACAAAATGTAACGGTCCTTCGTCCATATCACTAGACAAACTTCATTGAGACAGCCGTTAAAAATAATCTAACTATAACTGTAAAATGAATGTAAATCAACTGTTATATATTTAATCGTATTGCTATAAAAACAGAAACTGACCTATTTTGACATTTCATATCAACACATTGTACACAATCGTAGTATTTCTGATCTACTTTCTGCTGACAATCGTTTACTTCCGATTCAATAGATTTCATCACGGCGTGCGCCGTAGAAAGTTCATCCCCTACAATCTTCAGCAAAGCTTTCCTTGTTTCTCGATTCAAGGCTGTAAATAAAAACATACGTTAAAGTGAAAAATAGGTCTCACCAATCATTGTGTAAATTTTCTCTACATTAAAATCATCTACTCACTAATACTTGGGTTTCCGAATATCACAAAACGTTTTTAACGTTGGTTTATTTAGAATGAATTCGGGTAGACCGTTAAAGAACTGGTGATTTTAATTTTCAAAATAGAATTGTTGGATGTATACTGATTGATACTTTTGTATGTGACAACATGATTTCTTAATAAGTTGGAATTAACTTTGAAAGAGAGGAGAAATATACCAAAGGGACATTCAAACTAATAAGTAGAAAACAAACTGACAACGCCATGGCATAAACACGAAAACGACCAAAAGACAAACAACAGTATACAAAACACAACATAGAAAACTAAAGACACGAACCCCACCAAAACTGGTGGTGACCTCTTGTACTCCGGAAGGTTAAGCAGATCCTGCTCCACATGTGACACACGTTGTGTCACCCTATAAAATATGTTTACATGTACGTTATATCAGTTGATTATGCATCACACAATAACTTTGAACTAGCATTCAGTAACTACGAGTACTCTTATATCGGTGCTTTGTGTTTATTGTTTTTATGTAAGGTTTACCAATCCATTGAGTTGAGCCATTTGTAACTGATTTTTACATATTGTTCTTATATTGTGCTGTTACACCACTGTCCGATGTCAATGGAGGGTTTAGCACTCACACACATGTTTAACCCATGCACATTCTGTATATGCATGTCCGAAGTTAGAGTCTGCAGTTCGGCGGTTGTCGTTGGTTCATGTCTGTCATAGATATAGGAAGGTGTGGTATGAGTGCCAATGAGACAACTCTCCATCCAAGTAACAATTTATAAAAGTAAACCATTATAGGTCAAGGTACGGCCTTCAACACGGAGCATTGGCTCACACCGAACAGCAAGCTATAAAGGGCCCCAAAAATTACTAGTGTAAAACCATTCAAACGGGAAAACCAACGGTCTAATCTATATAAAAACGAGAAACGAGAAACACGTATGAACTACATAAACAGACGACAACTACTGTATATTTGTTTTTCGTAAATTGAATGATTACAAATTATGCCGTTAGTTTTCTCGTTTGAATTGTTTGACATTTTTCTTGTCGGAGTCTTTTATAGCTGACTATACGGTATGGGTTTTTCTATTGTTGAAGGCTGTACCTATTATTACTTACTTCCACGCCATTTGAACTCTAGATGATAGTTTTCTCGTTGGCAATCATCTCCTTATAATTTATTTTGTACCAATGGCATTGGATAAGAAGGAGCATTATATTGGGATAGAAAATAACCAAATAGATCAATTGTCATAATTTCAATTAAATAATACAAGACAAAGATGAACTTAATAGCGGTGCAATGGCAAATTATGAAGAAAAATAATTGTTTGGTACACGTCAATGCGACGGCAACCCAATAAAGCAAGTACCAAACGACATCTTGTTTTAACAAGTGTTTTAGATAATCGTACGTTTCAGTCGTCGGCCCATTTGTTCTTTAAAGTTCCCACTTTGGTTTTTTTTTTAAGTGAGATTGATTTATTTTAGGAGTTATATGTTTTAAGTTTGTCATTTTTTAAATGGTTTTATCTGGAAACCACTCCCGGTTATAAACTAATAAAATCTGTCACGATATCATCACTAAAACGTAAAAATATGATACTCGTTCGGAAATTATGCTATTTAGCAAGTGACAAATTAAAATTGTAAATTGTACGAGAAAATTATGAACGAATCCGAGACACTAACATTTAAGACACCCTTTACATTCGTGTGAAGATTGATTTGATTTTTGGTGTTTTAAGCACCGCTTTTGGGCTATTTCGTGGCGGCCAGTTTTTATAGGTGGAGGAAGCCGGAGTGCCCGGAGAAAACCACCGACCTTCGATAGAAAAACTGACAATCCCAGTCAATTAAGATTGGAGTCGAGTGCACCCGCACGAGCGGGGTTCGAACTCACAACCTCAGTGTTGAATGGCTAGTGATAACAGTAGTAACTACTTAGACCACTCGGCCACCGAGGCCCCAATTCGTGTGAAGACATTTGATATCTCAGTAAAAAGTTAAAAATTATAATCGTTCTGACAGTTCAACCTATAACTTATTCTGACAGGCCTACCCTATAACAGATTTGACCAGTTTTACCAACTACCAGAATGCACAAAATATATCAGGACATGTTTGAAATAATATTTCAAGGCGATATATTTTTGTTCGCCGGTGGTAACACTAGCTGCAATGTATTTACGTGTAAGGCATTCCCTTTCCATGGTACAATGATGGGTTATCTTCAATAGTTTAATAATAGAAAGTCATCAATATTTTCAGGAAGAAAAGTATAAAACACATATTGACGCGAAAAACTAAAAAAAATCTTGTACATATGCATTTTAACTATATTCACAGGTATATGTTACAGTACACATTGGAATTCAGTAGGTATCATCATCCAGAATCTTCCTAGTACAAATGTGGTATCCAAATTTCTATCTTCTTTAGTTATTGGAATTCTAATTTGTGCTGGATTTTAATAAGTGTAAATCAGAATTCCAATTTCTACTAGTAGATATTGGATTTCCGATTTGTACTACGTGGATTCTGGATCTTACTGAATTCCAATTTGTAGTGCAACACATATGTTAAGAAAGCAATAATCAATTGCCTGCCACCACATACACAACACATGTATATATTATATTTACTCGCTTGTTATCAAGTCATCTTTACATGTCATACGATTAACCATTTAATACAAAATACTTGTTTGTAAACACCTTGACAGGTGATTTACAATTGTGTCTGCTATTTATGATATGTTTTTCTGGTCTACAGTTTTCGCGTGTTTTCTCCGGTTTAAAAGCTTTAATCTGTAATTTATATAAAACAATACAACGTATTTCATAATGATGATGGGGAAATATAAGATTTGACATGCGGAATTTGCTACCTTGCTGTTAAACATCCTTCGGAACATTTACCATTATTATTAATATTATTTATCATTTATTTTTAATGTAATATATCTTAAAAATTACTGTATAATTAATACTATATATATATAAATATATATGTATATATATATGTATATGCTCGGAAACGGGCCCTTTAATTGGATTTAATAAATATCCTTATTCTTCTTACCAACTTGCATTAAAACGTTGTGGTATATCAGTAAACATTATCAACAGTAATGTCGATGGTGAACAACCCCATTTTAACCTCTAACCGATACTTCAGTTGTCTCGGTGAAACAACTCTAGTCCCCACACCTATATTAGATTTTAAAAATATTAAATTTTAAGATACATTTATTGCAAAATTCGTTGGAACTCTATAAATGTTAAAACATAAATCGTTTTTAATTAATTACGTTGTTGTGTATCTATTGCGTTGCAGTGTATCTATACTAAACGGAACCTGATAAATGCTTACAACTCTGGTGATAGTTGTCTCATTTGCATTCATACCACTTCTCCTTATCCTTATATCCACGAAGTCATAAAAAAAATAACTAACTAAGTATGGAGTGGATGAATTGACATTGACAGCTGGTCTGGTGTTTTAATTGTTCATAATTATATACAATGAAATTTGAATATCACAGGGCCGGTTACATCTTGGTCAAGTTGGATGTTCTAATCATGAAATATAGCTCCAGAAGCGTTTTATAGGATGGGCAAAATTTTAATGATTAAGAAAAAATCTGGCAAAACATGGGGTATAAAATCAGCTGTCGCATATACAATTTGGATTTTTTATAAGATTATTGTAGATAATATAAATAGAGAATTTGTAGAACATTTCTCTGTTGAGTATCTCACACGCTTTTATATAACAAGGCGTAGCTGTTTGTCCGTTTTCAGAAGATGCAATAATACGTTTTTTTTTTAAATAAAAGGAAAGCCTTTGACAGAGTAAATCATTGGATACTCTTTTACAAATTGTTAAAATCGGAAATTCTCAGCTACGTTTTTCGTTTTTTAATGAATTGGTTTGCAATTCATGTATGTTATATAAGATGGATATAATTTATTTCTAGTGAGTTTAATGTCAGCAATAGTGCGCGTCAAGGGGGTATTTGTCATCTTACTTGTTTAATATCTATATAAATGACTTGAACATCAGTTGAGCAAAAGCTAATGTTGGTTGCAATTTAAACAAAGCTCCAATGATTAATCTTTGTTATGCTGATGATATGCGTATATAAATAAGCCCATCAGTTGCTTGGTTGAGAATACTTTTATCTATTTATGAAGAATTTGCCAATGAAGATGACATTTTACTTAATGTCAAGAAATCTATGTGTATGATTTTGAAAACAAAGTGTATGAAGATTTACAATGAGCCCAAATTTTATTTATGTGGTAATTTTTTAGAGTTTGTTGATGAATTTAAATATCTTGAACATATGGTTTGTAATGATTTAACAGATGATTGTGACATAAAGAGACAATATCAAAGTATATGCAGGAAAATTAATACGCAGAAGCGAAAATTTAACAAATGTTTTACGGGTGTTACGATTCAACTTTGTCAGTCTTATTGTATGAAAGTCTAGTGTGTACTTTTATGTTCTAATTGTAAGTCTGACTCTTTTGGATAAAATCCGAGTAATGCATAATAATACTTTCAAAATAATAATGGGATATCAATATACATGTAGGTGTAGTGTACGTAATATGTTTGTCGTAAATGAAGTTATGTCCTTCATGGAAGTTATGCGTAAGTCAAAGTTGAGTGTGTTAAATCGCTTGAAAATATCTGAAATGATATATATTTGGACCTTTGGGGTCTGAAATAAAGACTATCTTATTTTATCTTCAAATTCAACGTTTGTTAGTAACTTTTGCCTAAAACTACTTACTTTGTAAATTAGTTGCATCTAGTTCCTTCAGTGACGATTGCAAAGAATTATTTTTCAAATTTGGTGGTGTTGTTGGTATCCCAGAAACCATACTAAATGGTAGAATTAAAGTAAAATATACGATATTCATTGTAAACTCCGTCTCCACAATGATTATATAACTTTCTGTCAAGGGAGAAAACATATATTTATGTCAATGGTAATGTCAATGTCAGTTGTCTATTACTAATACATTTATTTACCTGTTCGTACGATGAGATACGGACACTTAATTAATTCAAGAATGGCGATTTTTACAAGTACAACAATTATTTGACTAAACTGTACTTGCTGTGTAATTACATGTAATATCCTTATTGAGAAGATTGATTAGTTCTCGTATAATTATAAAAACATCTCCGACAGAATGTATCGCCTTTCCGTAAACATGTGATTTGAGTTCCTGTAAAAAAGCATGTCTATATTCATCGACTTGTCGTGATGTCTTTTACATTGACAAGTATATCATACCACCTACAGTGAAGACCGGTTATAAGAGAATCTGCATTCAAAGTTCCTCGCTGCGACCATGGCCATAATATAGTGAAAAAGAGCTGTAATAACGGCAATACGTAAGGTCTATTCAGAAAACTATATTCGAAGACATTTATTCAAAACGACACTACGGTTAAGAGAACTTTACTACAACAAAAGAACACATGGCTATATAATTCAAAGGCTTACTATCTGTACAATAAGTATTGTCCGATTACCCGCACAGTTTAAAGCTTATTATCTGTACTGTTAATGTTGCCCCATTGTCCGTACGGTTCAAAGCTTATTATATCTGTACTGTTAGTGCCCGATTGTCCGTAATGTTCAAAGCTTATCATTTGTACTGTTTGTATTGCCCCATTGTCCGTACGGTTCAAAGCTTATTATCTGTACTATTGGTATTGTCCGATTGCCCGTACGGTTCAAAGCTTATTATCTGTACTGTTAGTATGGTCTCATTGCCCGTACGGTTCAAAGCTTATTATCTGTACTGTTAGTATTGCCTGATTGTCCGTACGGTTCAAATAAAATTGAGAATGGAAATGGGGAATATGTCAAAGAGACAACAACCCGACCAAAGAGCAGACAACAGCCGAAGGCCACCAATGGGTCTTCAATGCAGCGAGAAAATCCCGCACCTGGAGGTGGTCCTCAGCTTGCCCCTAAATAAAATTGTGTGCTAGTTCAGTGAAAATGGACGTCACACTAAACTCCAAAACATATAAATGAACTAAAATTAAAAAACATACTAGACTAACAAATGCCAGAGGCTTCTGACTTGGGAAAGGCGCAAAAATGCGGCGGGGACATGTTTTGTGAGATCTCAACCCTCCCCCTATACCTCTAGCCAATGTATAATAAAGAAACACATAGCAATACGCACAGTAAAAATCAGTTTAAAAGAAGTCCGAGTCCGATGTCAGAAAAGGTAACAAAAGAAACTAAGCAAAATGACAATGATACATAAATGAACAAAGGACTACTGGCAGTGACTGCCAGCTCCAGACCTCAATTAAACTAATTGAAAGATTATGTCTCCATCATATGAAAATCAAGTACAATCCCTCCCGTTAGGGGTTTAGCATCATACCATCATACAATATATGAGAAGAACATAACCCGTATCATGCCAACAACTGGTTTTAGAATAAATGTGTTTATTTCCGATGCAAAGACCCTATGAGTGAATCAATATTAATACCAAAATATGCAATCCTTAATGACTTGACAACAGTATCGTAACTATATCCTTTCCGAATAAGTCTGTTTAAAGGTTTGGTTAGCTTTTGAGGTGAATGCCGACATTTTTGTGCTTTGTAAAGAATATTACCATAAAATATTGGATGTGAAATACCTGAACGTATAAGATGTCTGCATGTTGATTTTTATTTACAAATGATGTCCTTGTACCGATGATAAGATTTAGTAAATGTTTTGACTAGTTTGTGATATCGAAAACCCTGGTGTAATAATTTTTCTGTAATACAGAGATTTCTTTCGTTGAAATCAAATACGTTGTTACAAATACAAACGAATCGAACAAGTTGAGATATATAAACACCATTAGATGGCGACAAGGGAACGTCACCATCTAAAAATGGATAATTAACAATAGGAAATAAAAAATCATCTCTTATATCATAAATTTTGGTATCAAAAAGTTGTTTTTTGTACTGTTAGTATTGCCCGATTGTCCGTAATGTTCAAAGCTTATTATCTGTACTGTTAGTAATGTCCCATTGTCCGTACGGTTCAAAGCTTATTATCTGTACTGTTGGTATTGTCCCATTGTCCGTACGGTTCAAAGCTTATTATCTGTACTGTTGGTATTGTCCGATTGTCCGTACGGTTCAAAGCTTATTATCTGTACTGTTAGCATTGTCCCATTGCCCGTACGGTTCAAAGCTTATTATCTGTACTGTAAGTATTGTCCCATTGCCCGTACGGTTCAAAGCTTATTATCTGTACTGTTAGTATTGCCTGATTGTCCGTAATGTTCAAAGCTTATTATCTGTACTGTTAGTATTGCCCGATTGTCCGTAATGTTCAAAGCTTATTATCTGTACTGTTAGTATTCCCTGATTGTCCGTAATGTTCAAAGCTTATTATCTTTACTGTTAGTATTGCCTGATTGTCCGTAATGTTCAAAGCTTATTATCTGTACTGTTAGTATTGCCCGATTGTCCGTAATGTTCAAAGCTTATTATCTGTACTGTTAGTATTGCCCGATTGTCCGTAATGTTCAAAGCTTATTATCTGTACAGTTAGTATTGCCCGATTGTCCTTACGGTTCAAAGCTTGTTATATGTACTGTTAGTATAGTTCGCTTATCCGTACTGTTCAAAGCTTGTTATCTGTACTGTTAGTATTGCCCGATTTTCCTTACGGTTCAAAGCTTGTTATATGTACTGTTAGTATAGTTCACTTATCCGTACTGTTCAAAGCTTATTATCTGTACTGTTAGTATTGTCCGATTGTCCGTAATGTTCAAAGCTTATTATCTGAACTGTTTGTATTGTCCGATTGCCCTTACGGTTCAAAGCTTGTTATCTGAACTTTAAGTATAGTTCGCTTATCCGTACTGTTCAAAGCTTATTATCTGTACTGTTAGTATTGCCCGATTGCCCGTACGGTTCAAAGCTTATTATCTGTACTGTTATTATTGCCCGATTGTTCGTAATGTTCAAAGCTTATTATCTGTACTGTTAGTATTGTCCGATTTTAAGTACGGTTCAAAGTTTTTTTATCTGTACTGTTAGTATTGTTCGCTTATCCGTAATGTTCAAAGCTTATTATCTGTACTGTTGGTAATGCCCGATTGTCCGTAATGTTTAAAGCTTATTATCTGTATTGTTTATATTGTCCGATTGCCCTTACGGTTCAAAACTTGTTATATGTACTGTTAGTATAGTTCGCTTATCCGTACTGTTCAAAGCTTATTATCTGTACTGTTAGTATTGCCCGATTGTCCGTACGGTTCAAAGCTTATTATCTGTTCTGATAGTAATACCTGATTGTCCGTACGGTTCAAAGCTTATTATCTGTACTGTTAGTATTGCCCGATTTTCCGAAATGTTTAAAGCTTATTATCTCTACTAAAAGTATTGCCTGATTGTTTGTACGGTTCAAAGCTTATTATCTGTACTGTTAGTTTTGTCCGATTGTCCGTGCGGTTCAAATCTTGTTATCTGTACTATAAGTATTGTCCGATTGTTACGTTTCAGAAATTACATGTTGACTAAGCTGTTACAAAACATAATATGAACCTCATAGAACAGGATACAAAATTCTTAATAAATCGTATATCAGGACGGCTAATACTATAGCGTGATGATAAACCGTACATCAGGACGTCTAATACTATAGCGTAATGATAAACCGTATATAAGGACAGCTAATACTATAGCGTAATGATAAACCGTATATCAGGACGGCTAATACTATAGCGTAGTGATAAAACGTATACCAGGACGGCTAATACTATAGCGTAATGATAAACCGTATATCAGGACGGCTAATACTATAGAGTAGTGATAAAAATAGATTCTACCACTGCATCGAGTGTGATACGATATTTATCCACTCGAGACAGTTACATATTTAAAATTTAACTGTCGAGAGTGGATAAATATCGTATTACACGAGATTTGGTGGTGGAATCTGTTTCTCTAATGATTTTCAAACAATACCCAGGCAAATTTATTCCTTCTTTTCGAATGATCTGCAAAAAGATGTGCTCTTTCTATGTGACGTCATCAGGCATTGTCGCCTTTTTTCATGCCGTCACAATAGGAAGTTCAGAGGAAAGCAAGAAAATTCGACGTCATAATCAGATTTTAACCAATGAAGAACTGAGATCAAACGAACCACACGTTGATTAAATTTGTTTTTATACAATGGGTGCAGAAAGGGATAAATTGACGAAGAATTAGAGAAACCGTATATCAGGACGGCTAATACTATAGCGTAATAATAAACCGTATATCAGGTCGGCTAATACTAAAGCGTAGGGATAAACCGTATATCAGGACGGCTAATACTATAGCGTAATGATAAACCGTATATCAGGACGGCTAATACTATAGCTGATAACCCGTATATCAGGACGGTTAATACTATAGCTGATAAACCGTATATCAGGACGGCTAATACTATAGATGATAAACCGTATATCAGGACGGCTAATACTATAGCGTAATGATAAACCGTATATCAGGACGGCTAATACTATAGCTGATAAACTGTATATCAGGACGGTTAATACTATAGCTGATAAACCGTATATCAGGACGGCTAATACTATAGCTGATAAACCGTATATCAGGACGGCTAATACTATAGCTGATAAACCGTATATCAGGACGGCTAATACTATAGCTGATAAACCGTATATCAGGACGGCTAATACTATAGCGTAGTGATAAACCAAAACATTGTCCTTAATGGTCGTCAACATTTACATGCTTGTACTTAAATGAATTCTTCCATTTAACGCTAAGCCACCGTTTGTTGTCATTTCAAAGTTATATATATATATATTACAATTTAGGAGTTGTAAGTGATTTATAATGCAAAGTCATGGAAATATTCACTTTTGGGGAACTTAATAATTTATCGTACTGTAACTTCCAAAAGATGGAAGTTTTTGTACGGTGACGCACTGAATGGAAGTAAGTTTAAACATATTGTATTGTCTAAATAAATAATAGGATTTGATACAAGTTATAACAAATTATCATAATCCTCTCCAAATATTTA